TATCTTTCAATGTAATATCAAAGATGTTATTCCATCTTATCATTCATTTTTGGCAACTTTTGAGATCTCAACCAATCTCACACTCTCTCTCTCTCTCTCTTTAGATTAAGAAGTCTATAGATCTTGCATGATCAATTATTTATCTTCCTTATCTTGAAGATCTTATTTAATGCCTGTTTATTCTCTTTATAGATGGATTTACTCTATTTTTGCATTAAGTTTAAACTATGATACTAACCTTTGCTTGCAATGCTACTATGTTTTAAATAAATACGCTTGAATGCTTCAAACAAGTTGGTATACTCTTTGTAGCATCTACACAAATCCATAATCTTAATTGGAACCTCATGGATTCTTGTCCCATTCTTTGTTATGTATGTCCAACCATTACATGATAGTAAGACTCAACTGCTTGCTTATATTTTAGGGGCATTTACATACTTACTACCCAATTCCTATGCATTTACATAACTAGCACATAAGTTGTATTTTTCACATGTCCACCCCCAAATCTCTCAAATCACATAACAAAATATCACTATTATAACTTTTCGGAAAGTAAAATATGTCTTTTCATGCAGAGTCAAGATGGCAAAAAAGTAAAAAATAAAAATAAAAAAAAAAAGTTTTAGATGCTAGATATGTAAATATATATGAATTGAGTGATATGTAAATATTCCTATTTTTTTTTTTATATACTTACACGCATACACTTAGAAACTCCAAAATTTAAGCTTTTTTATTTTTTCGCTTGCGAAGTCACCATCACTCTTCGAATTGCAACAAAATAATTTAATATCTTATCCAACCGAGAAAAATTTGCATATGGAAGACGTTTGCAAAGCTGCGTGCATCAGAGATTATTCAGAAGGTATTGGGGGGTTATATCTGCATTATACCCCCCCTATAACATTTCTGTAACCTACCTATAATCTCTCAATACCCTCTGAATAACCTCCGATGTACGAAGCTCTGCAAACATTCTACGTACGCAAATTTTTCTCCTCTTGAACACTCTATGTAATATAACACAACACTTACAGCTCACTCAACTAATAATTATTGATATATATATTTTTTGTCAAGTGTTCTCCTACGGTGCTTTAAATTTAAAGGCTATGATTTAATTTTGATGAATAAAAATCAGTATTTTAAAATAGTATAAATGTGATTTGCTATAACAATACTCTTTAGTAATGATGAATTTAATCATTTCGACTTAAATTATGCAAACTTTTATCCCATTTATCGGCAACCTTTGTGAATCAATAATGTCCTACCATCCTTCATAGTAAGAGAACAAATACCTCTTTCAATAAATCTTTGTTGCCAACTTATTGCATCTTTTTATACATTTTTAGAATTATGCAATTTAACCACAATTTTCAAAAACACAAAAAAATTGTTTATGTTCTACTTATTTATATTTCAAACACAAAAATTTGTTTATATTCAACTCGTTTTCTTAACGATCCGAACACAAGCTGTTCGCAAACAAAAAATCATTTTGACAATTGTGTTCATGTATGCAGTCGTTAGGAGTGTAAACGAGCTAAGCTTAAGCGAGTCCAAACCCAACTTGTTAAAAAATATCATTGTTCATATTCAACTCGTTTATATATTGAGTTAAAAAAAATATTTTTTGTGATTAACTCGCTTGTTTATCGAGCCGAACACGAGTTATTCACGAACAATGAACTATTTTGACAACCCTAATCACACAACGGTAGGAAATGAATGGTAGGGCGAGATTTAAATCTTATTACTTATATTAAAATATTCACTTGAACAAAATTTAATATATTTTTATTCTATTTTTAATTAGTAATTTTAAATGATTATTAATATTTGGAGCGTTGAGACAATTAATTTTTTTTCGAAATGAGTATATATATATAAATATATATATATATATATA